GCTTAGTGATGGGGTGCGGCCCGCGGTGGGTCCCTACCATGCTGTGAGGCCTGGGCCAGATGCTTGCCTCCTCTGTGCCTCAGTTCTTGTGGGTGTAAAAAGACAGGTTTGGGTTCCCAAGCTGCGCTCTGTGAAATTTCTCAGCTGGGGGGTGTAGGGAGGGCAGGGGTGGGGTCAAACCCCAGGGCTACCCCATTCCCGCCCGGAGAAAATCTCCACTTGGCTGTCTGACAGGCCGAACTCCAAGAAGAGGTTCTGCTGTGAGGCCCGCCATGACCCAGGTCCCTTCAGGGCTGGTGCCCGCAGCTCTGAAAAGAGGCCACAGGAAGTCCCGAGTGTTGGGGCTTGGGGTGGGGGTGAGGTTGGGGGTGAGTAGGAGGAGGTCCCCAGGTGTCCCCCTGAGAACAGCCGGCCCGAAAGATTGCTTTCAAGTACTCTTCCTGGACTCCCTCCAGGGGATGGGCACTGGGAGAGGTGATGACCTCTGGGCCTCCAGAGCAGCAGATCGACAGGCTCTGGGCTGGGGGAAGGTCAAGGACGGCTCAGGCTGTCAGCCAGAGAGCAGTAGGCTCCGTTCAGCTTCCTGGAACAGAGGCTTTTCACGGGGTCAGGGTAAAATGGGAGAGAGGTTTCAGGGGGTCCTGCTTTCTTCCACCAGGACTGAGGTTCCCCGGGAAACCTCCCTAGAACATCAGGGCCAAATCCCAGGATGGCCAAGCTCACAGCAGCCTCAGTTCCTTAAGACACCCCTGCCCTTGCTTCTCTGCATAGGGCTGTGACCTTGCAAGAGTGGGATGCATTGGGGTGACAGCCTGGCAGTCGGCCCCGTGAGCCTGTGGGGAGGCAGATGGCCGTGATCAACTCAGTGACTTCCTGCGGCCTGGCCCGGGAGCCACATAGCCAGGGGGTCCCTGTGGGTCTGATACTGAGAAGGCGAGACCGCACGCCGTTGGCCGGGGACACGTTATGAAGGGGGATAGCGTTCTGTGAACGTTCTAGAAGCCTCCAGCCACCGGGACAGAGACCTCTGTCCCCCGTGTGGCCCGGTGGGCAGACACCCTCCAGCTGCCCCCACGGGGGGCCTCAGGCAGGGCTCCAGCACATCCCGGCTCTGGCCCCGCACCAGGTCTCTGATACGGGCACTTGATAGACGTTGGACTTCATTAAATCAGCTCAGGGGGTAATTTTGTCCTCAAGCTTCACACTGGTTTTATGAATAGCCACTAGGGACCGTTGTTTTTAATAAAGTCTCAGCTCCTCGGGACTCCAGTCTCGGCCACAAGAGAGACCCTGGGGACCCCCGTGGGATGCACGGGCCCGTCCCCAGACGCCTGGCCCCAGGAGGATCTCCCCCGCTGGGAGGTGGCCCAGCTGCTGGCCGGTGTGCGGCTGGTTCTGCTCAAGGATCTGGGGCGGCCTCTGGGGACACAGGGCTACCTGGGAAACACCGTTTCTTCAATAGAAATAAAGACGGTGAGGAAGTCTGGGGAAATGGGGCAGGAGGCGGCCTTGACGTGGGGCGCCGAGCAAGGTTAGAGGCAGCCGGGTCAGCACAAGACTTTATTAGAGACAGGGACACACGACGCCAAGGGTTCGCAGCCCGGACCAGCTTCTGTCCCACACCACGCTCTGTCCATCGGCAGCCGTGCTGGTCCTCCAGCACCTCCACACACAGCCTGCCAGCCGTGTGTGGACAGTCGGGCAGTACCCCCCCGTGTCCAGCCCCAAACCTCTGGGTCTGCTGAGTCCTGCCGGCCGCTTGGCCCTCTTGGGGTCTGGGGATAGCTCTCTCCCTGCAGGCAGGTAAGGACAGAGGCCCTGGGGAGGCCCCCGGCCGCATGGACCAGAGCCTGGCGCCCTTTGTTCTAGGTTTAGCACGTCTCCCGCAGGCACGTTGCTCCTCAGACTGCACGGGAGAGAGGTGTGACCACGGGCCTAACCGAAGCCTCCCCTGTCGCCATGATGTGGGGCAGATCCCGTTGACCGACCTTCCGAATCCTGGGTGATGGGGCTCGGGCCCCAGACCGGCCGGCCAGAGGCCCGTGTGACCAAGGGTGGCCGGTGGGGCGAGCAGGGGGTCAGGAAGAGGCAGGCCTGTGATACCATTCCTGCCCCCAAGACGAACATTCTCAAGCCGAATTGCACACAGCCACAGGGGGATGATGCAATCTGGGCACTACTCCCGGCGCTGTCCTGATCCCCTGGTGGGTGGTGCTGAGGCCACCAAGGGCAGAAGTGCAGGAACCATCCACCCTCTGGACGCAGCGAGCTCAGGTGGCCCATCAGGCGGCCTCTGGTTGAACTCTCTCAAAGTTTGGGGCAGGGGGGTGCAGGATGAGTGAGGCCACTGGCTGATTGCACAGAACCTACCCGTGCTGGGGGAAGGGAACCTTCGGCAGCTTCTGGAGCCACGTGCACTGCCCCCCGAGATCCCCGTATCGAGACCCCTCCTCTGCTTGACTCATCGTTCCCCTCATCAGTGGAAGAAGGAAAGGGAGGGAGGGTTGGTCAGGTCACAGACCCCCCCACTGTCAAACCATCAGCTTAGGCCCCTCGAGACGGAGTTCAGGTGCAATGAGCCTGGGTCCCGGGTGACCTTTTGCACACATCTGTCATCCCTCCATCCTCAGTGGAGCTGCGTCTTGCGACTTGCTCTCCTGACACCCTCTTCTTCTTGGGATCACTCACTCGATGGCCATCCACGCTGACCTCACACCACGGGCTCCTGGAGGCCGGGGTCCAGAGCCTGCTTTGCTCAGCACAGCCTCCTGGCCCAGAGCGGGTGTTCAGGGACCCTCTGTGCTCCTCACCAGCCTTCAAAGGGTGCCCTTTAGGAAGGGGGGTGCGCTGGCCCACCGTGACGGCTTTAATGCCCACTCAGCCAGTGTTTGAGCCGGCCACAGCCCTCTGTGCCAGTCCTGGGCCGGGAGCGGGGCTGGCGCTCTCGGGTCGGCAGGAACGGGTGTCTTCAGGTCGGCCGGATGCTCCTGAAGGCCACCCGCACCTGTCCCCACACCAGGCTGGAGCCGCGGCACACGTCTGTTCTGCAGCCAAGCCCTGGCAGGAGTGCCCCTGAGCTTCCCGACGCGCACGCACATCTGTGAATCCGTTAACATCACACTCACCAGGAGTTTGTGTGATGACAGATCAGAAAGCGCTCGACACTTTCCAAACGGCGGCTGGCACTGCAAGGCTGGCGGCAGAAGCCGGCTCTCGCCTGGGGCTGGTGGGGGAGAAGGGGGCTCCCTGGGATGAGGACTTGGGGTCCCACCCAGCCAGAGTCTGCACTGTGGCCGCGGGTCCTGGCAGCTCGGGGTGGGGTGGGGGGCTGGCTCTCTTCTAGAGGACGGGAAAGGGGACTGGCAGGGGAGAGCCCTCCTCCCCCCATCTCCCCCACCCCACACGGCTCCCCGGCCCCTCCAGCAGCCGGGCTGCTCCCCAGCACCTGCTCACCCTGGGCTGCAGCCGTCTGTTTCACGGCCATGTTCGCTTCAAGCTGCGGGGCCGACAGGGCAGGATGCGGTGTCGCCCAGCGCCCAGGCAGGCCCCGGCCCACGGCAGATGTCCTGCAAAACTCTGCTGAAGGCTGCGACCAGGTGGAGCTCCAGGGGACCGGCCAGGTTGCACACGGGTCCGTGGCACGTGATTACCGAACCGCAAACTTGGGTGGGTGGGGAAGGGAGAGCTAAAGCCCGCGCTCCCCTATGTGCCTGTCTTCATCTGCCTTCCAGTGAAGGAAGGAAACACCCCCTCCCTCCCTCCCACCCACCCTCCGGGCAGCCCCCCCCCGGTGAACCTCCCGCCCCCCCCCCACCCCCCCCCCCCCCCCCGTCCCCATCAAATCCCCACAGGTAGGAACGTAGAAAAACAGCCTGGTGCTTGGTTCTGAGGGCAAAGGCATTGGGGTCCCAGCGGGTTGATATCAGGTTGAGGGCTGCTCATCTTGGCCAGTTCTTAGGGGGAGGGGGAGGGTGAGGGGGAGGGGTAGAGTGATAGTATGTTGGGCATTGGGAGGATTCAATGACAGATGGTTTCGAGCGTCTGGTGGTGCCTCAGTCTCCCCCATTTGCCCAGCAAGTCTTGGCAGTGCCCAGAGTCACCAGCAGGGGGCAGCCGCCCCCACTTGAGACAGCAGTCTCGGGGCTGAAGGGCTAACGGCCACCCAACCCCTCCTGGTCCACCCTCCCCTCTGCAGGCCTGACGCCAGGGGGCCCTAGGATCCCGGAGTCCCTGGGAATGGTGGGACACGCCCCACGGCAGCCCAGAAAAGAGAGATCCCCACTGGCCAGGCCCAGAGGATTCAGGACCTGCCCCAGCCTCCCGCGGGAAAGAGGATAGGGTGGGGTGGGGCTCCGCCGCCCCAGGAAGGCAGGAGGCTGGGCGCAGCAGCCAAAGGGACTGAGGACCTCCCAGGCCTGCAGGAACACAGGGGTGGGGGTGGGGGTGGGAGCTCCAGGAAACTGGCCTCGGGGTAGGAGTCCCCACGGGCAGCCGCACCCCGGCCTGGCCTGGGGGAAGGGTTGGCATATGGCTGTCCAGCCTTTGTCTGGTCCTTAGGGGAGAGGCCGGATCCTCAGGCACCAGGGAAGTGAAATTTCGAGGCCAGAGGCGGCTGGCCTCAGACCTGACTCAGAAAGACCAGACACTCCCTCCGTCTCCTGAAAAGGCTGCTGGGGTGCTGCCGGCCCCTGCCCTGTGCCCCCATAACGCCGGGTGTCTGGACGGGCGAAACGGAGGGTCTGCCGGGGTGCCGGGCCGACTGCTGAGCACGGGAAGTCAAGACGCTTAGCCCAGGAGCCAAAGTCCGGGCGGGCAGAATTTGGGGGTGTCGAGTCGCCCCCCCCCACATCAGCAGAGGTGAACTGAGGGGTGAGGACAGCGTGAAGAGGACGCACAACCCCCCCCCCCCCAACACGTGAGCAGGCCGGCCACGTGCGGGCAGGTGGGCGTCGGGGGGGGGGAGGCAGGGAGGGGGGGGGCGGGGCGGGGGGGGCGCGGGGATGGGGGGGGGCGGGGGGCCGGGGTGGGGAGCGCCCAGCTAGCGGTCCTCGCGGACCGGCCGGATCTTCATCTCGGAGAACTTGAGCGAGTACTGCCAGCCGGTCCAGGAGGACCACTCGATGCCGTCGGCGTAGGAGGCGTGCGCGCCCCGCAGGTACTGCCCGTTCAGGTTGGACGTGTGGCAGTTGCGGTACCACCAGGCGCCGCGGTAGAAGGCCGCGCAGTTGTTCTCCGAGTGGTCACTGTCGCGGTCCTTGGTGGTGAACCTCATGCCGCTGTGCTTCAGGAGGGAGTCCCCTGCGCAGGCGCAGACACAGACGCACGCCGCTGCGTCCTCAGGGCGCCTCCCCTGGACGTGCGCGGTGGCGCACGTGTGCCCCCGCTGTGCGCGCACGTCTGTCCCACCACACCCGGGAGCCTGTGCGGCTCGCGTGCGCCCACGGTGCCGCCCGGGGGGTCCCCGGGCTGTCCCTGGGTCCTGGCCGTCTCTGTCCCTTCTCCCAGCTTCTTCACGCGCTCCCTCTCCTTGCCCTCCTGCCTCCGCCTCAGAAGAGAAACCCAGCCCAGAGAGGTGCAGCCACCACACTTTAGAGGCTCAGCAGAACACAAGCCCCGGGTGTCCTGCTGCCTGGCTCGAGGCTCCCTTTGCCCGTCTGCCAAATGGGTGAACAGTTCGGGCCCCGGTGCTCTGCGTTGCCGGGATGGGGGCCAGGTGGGACTTGAAGGTGGAGGTCAGAAGCACTGGGCCTGGGGCTTCTTTGACCTCCTGAGTGGGGAGACTGGTGGGCGTCCCCCCACACCTGCCCTCCCTTTTCCCCGCTGCCGCCCCGGGGTCCCACCTGCAGTGCCCGAGTAGTCGGCCACGGTGAGCGGGTAGCCGTCTTCCTCCGGGTCCACGGAGAACAAGCCCACGCCAAAGCTCCGGTAGCGGGCGTAGGCCGTGCCGTTCTCGAAGTCCTCGAGGTCCACGTGGAGCTCGTAGGCGGCCTGCGTGGTCAGAGCGTGGATCCTCCTGAGCCCTGGAGTCGGGGAGGGAAGGGCAGACGTGGGGGGAGGGGCTCACAAGGTGACCCCCGCGGGAGGGAACTGGGGCGACCAGAGAGCCGAGGGCACACGGCTCGGGCCAGCCTGTGTTTGGCAACAAACCGAGGACCGACCATTTCTCGTGTTTGGTTTTCTCTGTCGGGCTTTAAGTCGGGCTCTGCTTTCCAAACGTTTGAGTGGAAGGTCAGTAGAAAGACTGTAGGTTTCAGAAGGAACCCGGAAAATCTGGGTTGGGGGTGATGACCCCCCCCTCATCCTCTCTCCCACTCAGGGCTCCGGCCGGAAAGGATCTGGGACTCGTATATATCTCCCTGAACCTGGCCTCTGAGACTTTGCACATCCTGTTCCCTCTGCCTGGGACACTTGTCCCTACTCCCCCACATTATGCTCTGTTCGTTTTCAGGCCGCACCTGGGGAAGGCTGCCTGGCCTCCTGTCTGGGTCGAGGACCTCTGCCAACCCAGCTGCTCCCCCCGTTGGTGTGTATCATTCTGTGCCCCCAAGGCTTGCCCCCCACCGTGGAAGCTCCATGAGAGCAACGGACTGTCCCGTTCACGCTGAATCCCGGCATGTGAGCAGGGCTCCGTCCACCATAGGTGCTCGATAAATGCTGCCTTAGCGGCTGAGCGGAGAAGTGGGAGGGCTGAGTCTCCTGCTGTCTCCAGGGCCTGGCCCTGTACCTGCCCCCACACCCCCATCGTCCCGCGCCCTCCCTCCCTCCCACACACTCACATTCAAGGTGCTTCCCTGCCACTTTGATTACCTCTTGATTACGAGGGCGTTTAATTAAAATTACAACTTATCAGCATCGAGTGACACTTCATCAGCCTCTCCCTCCTGAGCTCCAAACCCATCGGTGGGGCCGGGGTGTGCAAGCTAATAGGGCGAGAAGGCTGTGCGGACCCTCCCCCAGCGAGGCCGGAGGGAAGCCTGGGTCCCACGGTCTAGGTCGGGGGCACAGGAGAAGCCGCTGTGACGTCGCAGGGGCCACGGCAAACCCCGCCCGCCCTACTCTCCCGGGACCTGGCCAGGACCGGGGTCTGAGAGCAGAAGGGTCTCGTCTCCCTGCCTCTCTCTGCTCTGCTCTGCTTCCCCCCCCCCCCCCCGCCCCGGGCTGGAGTTTCAGAGCAAGCCGCTGTCCCTCTCTCGGGGCCCCGGCTTGTACACCTGCGGAGTGGGCCTCACGGGGCTGAGATGAAGGGCCGGGAGGGTTCCGCAAGCTGTAAGGGCAGGGGCGACAACAGCCACCAGCTGGACGGCACTTACGAATGCCGGGCACCGTTCCGAGCCCTTCTCGGGGGTTAATGAATCCAGCAGAATTAGAATGAGTCCAATTTAATTAAAGAATCCCTGTACAGCTCTTAGAACAGCGCCTGGCCCGCTGCACACGTTACCCGGGTGTCTGTTGCTCCTGCTGTCATGATCAACGAGGCAGGGGCTTCATTATCCCTATTTTACAGGTGAGAAAAATGAGGCACAGAGAGGTTAAGGTGCGGGCCCAGGTCACCCAGCTGGTAAGTGGCAGAGCTAGGAGTTGAACCCAGGCAGACCGGCCCAGACGCCTTGCCCTTACTCAGTTCTTGTCCGAGACCGATCATCGGCTCCAGGGACAGGGCAAGAGGGAGACCAGCCTGGCAGGGACGCTGGGGAATCCCTTTTCCCCATCACTGAGTGGTGGCTGGTGCCCAAAGGCCCACATTTGGCACATCATTCCTCTGGGCTAAGCTGGACGGGCCATCCCAGCGCCCGCGAGGGGCCCCTGGGCAGGGTGCCCTGGAGGAGGGGCCGGGTGGGGGCTGCGGGGTTCCTCTGCCGTCTCCACCCCTTTGCTCTCCCTCTCTCTTCACTTTCTGTGTTTCTGCAGCCCCTGCAGAAATCCTGATCTGCCAGGACACTCCCACCCCCCTGCCCCGCCCCCCGCCACCTCGGTGGGCCCCTGGATGGTGAGCTGAGATCGGGGCCCCCATCGCCATCAAAGCTGGAGGAAGGGGCGGCTGGGGGGTTAAAAGAGAGAGGAAGGGGCGCCTGGGGGGCCCAGTCGGTTGAGCGTCCGACTTCGGCTCAGGTCACGATCTCACGGTTGGTGAGTTCGAGCCTCGCGTAGGGAGGGCTCTGTGCTGACGGCTCAGAGCCTGGAGCCTGTTTCCGATTCTGTGTCTCCCTCTCTCTCTGACCCTCCCCCGTTCGTGCTCTGTCTCTCTCTGTCTCAAAAATAAATAAACGTTAAAAAAAAATTAAAAACAAAAAAAAAGAGAGGAAAAATACTCAGACCTCCAACCCTCCTATCGTCACCCTGAACAAATTCCCAGATGGGTTATGGATCCGCACCTAATATAAACACTAAAGAAAAAAAATTTTTTTGTTAAGATAGGAGACATTTTTAGAAAACCGGGAGGGGAAAGCAGGGCCTCAAGCCCAGAGGATAGGAAGGAAAAAACTGGCAAGAATTGGCTACATAAAAGTTTAAAACATCTAGGAAATCAGCAATAATTTAACAACAGCAACAAAAAAGCAGCCAAAAGACAAATGACTGGAAGTAAATATGTATCATGTGCATCTGACAAAGAATCAATAACCTTAATATATAAAGAGCTCCCATAACTCAATAGGAGAAGACAAAACCCTGGATGAAAGGGAAAAAAAGTTTGTGGAAAAGCAGAGGGAGGGAACAGCCAGGGCGGTAGAGGGCTACGTTGACATTCTCCTCAGGGCCTCCTGTCTGCCAGGAGCTAATCAAGGCCCTGCTTAAATGCTTCCTCCCGAAGCTTCGGTGGCTGCTGATAGATTTCAATTAAGATGCCGTGAGTGGCAGGGTCACCAATGCTGCTCTAAGGGGGTGGGTGGTGATATGGAAACAGCCCCCCCCCCCAGCTTCTCTCTGTCTTTACGCACCCACCTGGGGGCGGGGCCGAGGGACCGGGGAAGGGTCTCCCACCTAGAAGCTTCTCTCCCCCGGCCCCTATGCCGCCCCTGCTCTCATTCACTCAGTTCAGGGTATACTTTAAAGCTCGTGAATCCTGCCCAGGCGTCCTCTGCCCCAACACACACACACACACACACACACACACACACACACCACACACACACACCCCACTCTTTCTGGACCTCGGTTTCCTCACCCATAAAAGGGGAGGACAGCAGTGCAGCTGTGAGGGTGGGTGTGAGGGGTCAAGGCTGAAGTGTATAAGGTGGGCTGGGCCCTAAGTAGAGACCGTGGTGATGAAGTCCACACTGGCCTCTCCTGCAGCCAGCCCCTTCCTGGTAACAGGGACACAGGGCAGGTCAGGACAGAGAGGGTCCTGTCCCCATGCATCACAGGGTCATGGAGGCGGGAGACGGACATAAGGCAAATGACAGCGTAGATCACCAGCCGGGTGCCTCTGCGCACACAGCGAGCGGGCACGTGCCCGGTCCCACCTCTGGGACTGGCCCTCTCCTTCCCCCCAGAAGGTCCCCTGAAAGCAAGCCCTACAGGCCTGGGACCTTCCTGACGCCCACCTGGAGCCCAGCCACACGCCCCGTGCCTTTGTTCTCACCTCCTCTCCCTCCTGCCCAGCTGCCCCAGCCCTGCTAGGGGGGACGTTCCCAGATGTCCATGCCTGGGGAGGCCAGAGTGGGGCCGGTGTGCCCTGGGGTGTGTGAGGCCATTCAAACATGGCGTGTCTTTCCCGTGCTGTGTGTTTATTTTGTTTTTTAAAGTTTATGTCTTTAAGCCGCCTCTACACCCAACGTGGGGCTCAGACTCATGACCCCGCGATCAAGAGTCACACGCTCCTCCGACTAAGCCAGCCAGGCACCTCCGTTTTCATATATATTGGAAACATAAATGGGGGTGACTGCTAACGGGGGCACAGGGCTCTGAGCTTTCTGGGGTGGAGAAGACGTTCTGGTATTAGGAGAGTTGCACAACTCTGGATATATTAAACCCCCCCTGGGGGTGCCTGGCTGGCTCAGTCGGTTAAGCATCTGACTGTCTCAGGTCATGATCTCACGGTTCGCGAGTTCGAGCCCCACGTCAGGATCTGTGCTGACAGCTCGGAGCCTGGAGCCCGCTTCGGATTCTGTGTCTCCCTGTCTCTCTGCCCTTCTCTTACTTGCATTCTCTCTCTCTCTCAAAAAACAGCAACAACAACAACAAACCCTGAACTGTGCACTTTAAAACAGTGAACTATATATACATAAAGCAGGGGCACCTGGGTGGCTCAGTCACTTGAGGATCCAACTCGATTTCAGCTCAGGTCACCATCCCAGGGGCTGTGGGATCGAGCCCCGCATCGGGCTCCCCAGTGAGCATGGAACCTGCTTGGGATTCTCTCTCTCCGCACTCAAGTTCTCTCTCTCTCTCTCTTTCTCAGATAATAATAAAGAAAACCTCACCTCGAGTCCCAACTCCCTCCCAAATATATATAAGACCTCAGACCTGTGATTTTATGGATGTTATGCTTCCGAATGACATTATGTAAGATACCCCAATGTTTAAATGCTGCGTGAATTTAAAGATAAATAGTATCTAAACATAATATGGACACGAGCTTTTTAAGCCCTTACTCTGCTCCGCACAGACCGTGTGCCAAAGATGGGAAACAAACGCCGTGCCCTGGGGCCCCAGGAACTGTGGCCTCTCTTTTGGGAGTCATGGCCTTGGTGCCCCAAGCACACCTCGGGCGTTTGCTGACCCCCGAGGGCAGGGCAGTTTGGGGGTTGGTCTGGCCCTCCCCGTACCCGAAACCGAGCCCTGCCCCTGCCCCCAGCTCTCTGGATCCAGGATGGCCACCGGCCGTCCCGGCTGGAAACGCACACACCCCTCCAAGGGACCCCCCGTCTCGCCGCGCCCCTTCTTCCTTTGGCCTCCTGCTCACCGACCGCAGACACGCTGAACGCACGGAACGCCTTTCCGGGCAACACCTGGGAGCTGGCTCGGGTGTGTGGAGGCCCCTGGAGACCGTGACCTCCCGCCACCCGGGGAGGGCGCGTCCCCTGGGCAGGCAGGTGTCCCGGCCCTCACCTAGCCAGTGCTCCCCCGTGAGCTTGCCGAAGCCGTCCCGGTACGCTTCCCAGCCTCGGAAGAAGTTCACGGAGCCGTCCTCCCGGCGCTGAAACACCTACAAAGGATGGAGAGCTGGGTCCAACAGCCCCCGGGCCCCCCCACGCCCACCCCGACGTGTCCCCGGCCCCAGGCACTCCCTCCACCTGCCTGCTTGCGGAGGGCAGGGGCCGGGCTCCCCGCCCCCGGCACGGGACCCAGAGCAGAGCAGGGACCCAGGGGCCTTCATGGTGGCACAAGGTGGGACAGACTAAATGCCCCCAGACCCCCAAAATGGCCCCTCAGGAAGGAATCCTGCTAGATCCGGGTGCCGAAACCCTGGCTTCCGGGCCCACCTCTGCTGCCTTGCTGGACGACCCTGGACTGGCCCCACCCGGGCCTGGGCCTCAGTTTCCCCACTGGTCAAATAAGAATCGTGGGCAAGGGCCCTAGTATCTTTCCCCGGGGTCAAAAGGAAACAGCAAAAAATCCATTCTCGAGTTGGTAAAAACCAAGAACACCCACACACATGCCCCGAAGCCTCCAGAGCTCCGTGTCGCAAAATGATTCTGCCAGAGCCATGCATGCCCTCCCCCCGGAATAAGAAGCCCTGGGCCCGGGGATCCGTGGGGGCTTGGGGAACCAGAGCCCCAGCTGCTCCTGGGGGGTGGGGGCTGGGGCCAGCAGTCCGCAGCCCACGGGGGTGTGACTAGGGATGGGGGGACAGCAGTCCACAGCCCACGGGGGTGTGACTAGGGTACCGATGAGCAGCCGAGCTGCCTCTGTTCTCCATTTTAATAACCTTCTTGATTTGGGAGTCAGGAATCCCATCGGTTAAATTGCTTTCAAATAAGTACCACGCTGGTCCAGGCCAGAGAGCTGCCTTGAGTATTTCCAGAATCCGCTGACGATCCCGTTCCTGGCTGCCCCCTCCCGCCCCCCTCCC